AAATTGAAAAGCTAAACAGCGTTTTAGGTACAAGTCGAGTTGTTGTGTAACACTGTATCATATAGTTCTGTTGCTGGAAAGCACACATTGTGTATTTGCAAGTATAATTAAAAACAAATATTCCATATTGTATACATTTATATACATTTAAATCTTGAAAATAATATGTTTTTTGTTGAAAAATTGTCGTAATTGTCTTGGTGGAACAATTTCGCTGAAGTTTTGCTGAAGTTCTAAATTTTGGAACTCATTTTCATAAGAATTTTCTTAATAATGGAATTGCATACTTTTATCTTCATCACACGAATAAACAATATGTTCTATATAAACAATATGGAACTCCATTTTTATCTTCTGTTAGAACGTTTTTTTATTCCACGCTTACATTCGTCAGTTCTGGATTGCACTATAGTTCAGTTTAGTTGTATTGCAATCCTCATGTAGGAACAAAAAATAAACCTATTATTTTTGTAGATTTACTCACATTATGTATATACTTTCAACAATTACTCAAGTAAACTCCTAGAATGAATATAATAATATTGTATTCTGTATTTAAAAAATATATGTATTTCATAAATTTATAAATGGAAACTTTGTAAATAAGAAATAAACGTTGCACAGAAACATATAAAATATTACTTTTTGCTCTTTATATTTGTACAAAATAAACGCACTATAAATATTGGTATGCATACGATTTTATAGTTCTTAATAGAACGTTTGATTCAAATTAATCGCAGTATGAAGTCTGTTCTTTTTAGCTGAACTTTTACAACCGTTTATCTTTCTTCCTTTTCTCTCCAAAAGAAAAGAAGAGGAAGAAAGATGAACTGATGCAAAAGTTTAGCCAAAAAGAACAGATAAACGACGCGCTGAATGCAACTTTCCTAATAGCACAAAAGAGTGCTATTAGGAAATGCTATTTGCATATATGGCTGTTTTCTATGGCTGAACTAGTGTACACTTTTGGAACTTAAAGTAAGATAGATATATAGTTTGATATTTGTTTAACGATATTTGTAAAGCGAAAGAACTAGAAAGAGAGTTCTAGAACAGTATAGTGCAGGAGCAGAAAACAGACCAAGGATTTCTATAATATTGCACGAACATAACATTGAAACTATTGCAGTTACGTTGCACAATGTTTCTGAGAAGTCTCTGCAAGATTGCGGCAACGTCAAAATGTTCGCTTCTGTCTGTAAGAAACGTTTCTGAAATATTACGGAAACGTTTGTAAAATCTTTTGGTAATGTTGGTGCAACGTCCTCTTTAGTTTCATTTACAATATTGCAAAAAAAAATGTAAATATGCGGGTAGAGCTAGGCAAAGTATTATTTAAGTATTTAAAATACAAAATATTCAAGTCAATTATATTAATTAATATCTGAATTATAAAGTACAAATTACTTTCAGTCTTTTGATTTGAAATACAAATTATTTCGAATATTTCAATATTTAAATATTCAAATATTAATTAATATAATTGACTATATTTAGCATTTCGTTTAAATATTTTAATGATGTATTTTACACAATCCCGGCATGGACGCGGGAATAAATATTGTTAATAAAAAAAGCAAATGCTTTATTAAATTGCAATATTTTTATTCTTATGTTATTAAGTCATAATAGATTTATTTGAATAGTATATTTATTTTTGAACAAGTTTTTTTGTTCAAGACTTTTGAACAAGACTTTGTTTCAAAACTTTGTTGGAAAAATAAAAATGAGGAGAAATTTTTGATTATTATATTCGTTTATTATATTCGTTTTATCTTTGGCTGTATATGTATTAAAGCTTTACATAATATATTAAATTAATAAAATATATTAAAAAATGTATATAAAAAATATATTAAAAAATGTACTATGAAAATAAAAAATTTTTTTGGATATTCTTTTTCTTTCTCTTCTTCCTCTCGCGTTTCCTCTTCGATGTCGATTCCATTATCATTTCTCACTGGGATCAAAATCTATAACCTTGACAACATATGTCACAATTAAGGTCATCAGTGCTGACTCCCTCCATCTATAATATTTATTTACAATAAAAAGTACTAATTGAATGAAAGGAAAAAATATATAAAATTCAATGAGGTAATTCCGGTATATACGCCGCATCTATCAAAAACTTAATTTATTAAGTATTATTTACTATATTTAAAGTAATCGAATCATATCAATAAAAACTTTGTATTGTCTACTACTATAAAAAAAAATATTAGAAATCCGAAATATTTATTTTTCATATTAAAAAATAAACTTTTTTAAACTCTTGCATTTTTGCCATATATCTTAAAGGGATATATGACTATTCATAAAAAGGAAGAATGACACAATAATTTATAAAATGCATTTATAAAGTTTTATTAAGGAATAAGAACAATAAATATGAAGTAATAAATAATAATTATAATCTTCCTACTTATATTATAAGTGTTATGACATATTTCATGTGATGCGTTTATTGCATTTAGTGCACTGAATTCAATCTGCGCACTTTGAATGCTTTGGACATAAATTCCACCCGCTAAAAATGCCGTATATCCCAAACAAATGGGGTATACAAGATAATAAACTAAATAAAAAAATACAAAAATGAAGCACTTGTATTTTGCTATACATCATGCTTTATTATTTCTTTACGTATGTATCATGAAATAACCACTAAGTTTTTACGCGCTCTACAATAATCATTTTATATAAATTATAATTTATGATAACGCTACTTATTACAGTGACAAATCGATTCTCTCACAATAATTTCATTAATATTAACAGTAAGAAATTGAAATCATAACACAATAATATAACATAAAGGCATGTAACAGAGTAATTGCGGGAAAATTACCTACATTCCTTTTATTTTTCCTGATTTCTGTGACGTAAATCCTAGGGCAGCGTATTTCCTAGAATTACCTTATATATAAATATATGATATGATAAGTACAAGATATTGAGAATGTACTCTGATATTGCATATATCAGAACAATCAATTTGTAACAATAATTAACTTTTATATTCTCAGTATCATTATCAAATCTAAAGAATATTACTAAAATGTAACTTACGCTAATTATTTTAAACAGTAAAGTTTTGATTCTTGGAGTTAGTGAGTAATTTAAAAATAACTAATATTTTTGGAACCTGATCCTCTTTTATTTTAACAGCAATTTTACAGTAATTAAAAAAAAATTTCATTCTTTCATCGTTATTTCCTCGTTTACAAATTTTAAATACTATCGAAGCGACTCAATTTTTTTATTAAGAAAGTCTGTCCAAACTTTGCAGACGTGTTTTTCTAACAATATGTAACTGTGCTGGACAAAATGGTCAGTCTTTAAAAAAAGGCCATTAAAAGCTTCTAAAAGTCTGTTTTTGTCGCTTATGACTATATGTTGGATACAATATGTTTCCCCAATCGAGATGTTTCTTTGAATCTCGCTTGTCAATATTGTTGAATAAATGGATTAATCGGAGACATTTGGTTTCTTGAGTTATAGAATTCTCTATGCTAAGTATTTTGGGTGCATATTTAATACAATCATATTTGTCCTGATGTCTTAAAAAGGATAACATCATCCTGAAAAATAACTTAGAAGACTACTGTACATATATTGAAGACTAAAAAATAATTTTTTAATTTTTTTCATGCACAAAATGACAGCGTACAAAAAAAGGAATTTCGCAAAAAGATCAATACATCGCCATTTGTCCATAAAAAATTATTTTTTTATTCTTCAATATAAAGTCTTCTAAGTTATTTTTATAAAGTTATTTATTTATCCACAATACATTCTCAAATTTAGGTATTATTTTAGGGCCTCGAGAGTGGTGTTACTCCTTGACAAGAGTACTTCTTTTTTCTTTAACTTATCCGCATTGCTATTGGAACATATATAAATATCTCTTTTTTTGCTGTTTGGTGTATTTTATATAATATACTTATGTATTTATTGTCTCACAATTTTAATTCCACTAACCTACTGTTCATTGTCGATTATATCTTTAAATATTAAGGAATATATTTCGCAAATATTGTGAGAACTCTAAGAATGTTTTCAGAATTTTCTATCAATTTTTTATCAAGTGCATTTTCTTATATATACATATATTGGCAACTATTTTTATCACTATGAGAAAATAATAATGATATTAAAAAATTCAAAAAATTCTGAAAAAATTCTCAAAATTTTATGAGAAGAAAATAAACAATTTTTGTCTTTCGCTGTTTTCTTGTAAAGTTGATAATATTTGAGTAAAAAATTATTGAAAATTCAATTATTGAAAACAACGATTTTTAATAATTAATATCTTGTTAACTATTGTAAAATGATAGAAGACTTTTCGACTTACAATTAATTTAGTCGTTCTATCTATACACGAGCGCTTTAAAACTTACCGGACATATATACGATAACTAACTATGTTGAAAATTTCAATCCAAAAGAAAATTATTATTAGTATATACTTAATTTATAAAACTATATGTGGCATAGTTCACGTGATGATTTTATATAGTAAAATTTGTGTTAACAAATTTCTTTATATTTTTCAGATTATTAATATTTATTTTTGTATGAAATATTCTGATTTAAATTGAATAATCTTTATTACTAAAAAAAAATTTATTAACATTAGTTAACAGCAGTCTGAATGAACATTATCTTATTAATTCAATTACAGATTAAGAGGAACAGAAAGTTTATATATAATTAATTGTATAGTAATTTAATTATATAAACCTTGTATTCGTCTTTAATAAAACTCTTGCTTATTTAATATAAAATATTATTTGTTTTATTATTACTATTATTAATATAATTAACAGAATTATTTTTAATTAAATTACTGTTAGCTAATTCTGTTAATACATCATTTTGCCGATTTTTATTGTTCTTTATGTATATGATTGTTGAGAATGTTTCCATTTGTATCTTTATTATGCAGAATATTTCTAAAACAACAACTCATATTATAAACAATATCATTGTAGAGATACGTAGACTGCACAGTATTGGATACGGGCAGTATGCCAGACGCCGAGGACTCTTCATACGACAGCGACTACGACGCCGAGGATTCGACAACAACAACGGCGACGACGACGACAACAATGACAACGACAGCAGCGACACGGTGTCCACGATCGGAATCGCAGATATCCCCAGCACACCCGGACGTGTCTCGCACCGCATCGGACACCTTGGCGGCAGAGTTCGCGGAGTACGTTACCATCCAGGGACCATCACCTACGCAAAACCCAGGTAGGCCTTTGCAAATCTTTCTGCTATCGCTATGACAGACAAGATAGAAGATCTCCAAGATCTTCAGAAAGAACTTCGCACAAATCTTATGAGAAGAATGGGTTTCGATAAAATTGCTTCAAACTTTAATATTTTGAACAATATAACATGTTATAGGATCGTATATGTGATAAATTATAGAAATCAAAGCCTTATACGGTCTAGCTGAATCTTAAATGCTTGTATAATTCTTGCGTGAATTTATATATGGTACTACGTATGTAATCCCCAGAAACACGCTCCGAAATGATTTTTCGGTCTTTGAAAACGCTAACTCTACTAAACTCTACTAAACCGCAGTATTATCACGAGTTAAATTGAGTAGCAATTTAACAAATATTTGATGCAATTCGCATCTTCGAAACGATCTTAATAATGTTGATTAACATATTAAAATGTGTCTTTAATTAAATAATTAATTCTTGCGAAAAATATAATATTACCTCGGCCGGGAGTCGAATCTGGATCTCTTGCATTCCGTGCGAGCGTCCTAAGTTTTTAGACTACTGAAGCCTTAGTAATATTCTAATATATTAGTAATTTTTAATATTTTGTAGCTGTCATATTAAAAAATTTTCACGAGCACAAACCTTCAAATGCTTTAATTTTTGCACCTTTGAAGATTATATCTTACAAGGAAAAATAAGATAAATCTTTTTTATTAACATTGGATTAAAAATACTGTATAATATATCATAGATATACATATATATTGGGTTGTCCGGAAAGTTCGTGCCGATTTTGAAAGAAAATTGAAATGCAGAAGATTTAAATTTTTAATTTCATTTATTAAATTTAAATCTTTTGCGGCACGAACTTTCCGGACAACTCAATACATACAATACATATACATATGTGTCATGGAAAAATCTGTCAGACATATTGTGATATAATATCACAAAAAAAAAGTCAAGTCAAATCAAGAAACATTTTTCAATAATTTTTCAAATTATTGAAATATTATTACGATATAAAACATTTTGAAAAAAAGTCTCATTTTATTTTCTAATTCCAAGAAGCATATTAGTTTCCAAAAATTGAGAATTCCTATTTCGTTTCTCTGTGATACAAACATATAGCGCTAAATGATGAGAAAGAAGCGAACAAGAATTGAGACAGCACATTATATTCGAGCACAAAATATTAAGAGCCACGACGCACTTTTACATAACACATGAAATGAGACAAGAAAATCAAGTCCAATCAGAGTTCTTTATTTCACGTAAAGGAAGGAAATAAAGAATTTTGATTGGTTTTCATTTTCTTATGCATTATGCGTTATGCGTTATGCAAGAGTCAGTGCTATTCGTCTAACGTGCACTCATGCGTAGGCCCCCCATTATAGCACTCAAGTACTCCAAACGTGAGAAGGAAGGAGATTCACATAAATCAAGTACTCCAAGAGAATGAAACACTCATGCATGTCGTTCATTTCGGACAATTCTGAGAACGGGCGCAAAATTAAAATCATAAACGTATCATTGATACACGCACAAGAATAAAAAGATTTATTTGATTTTTCTATTACTTTTTCATATAAAATATAAAAATTCTGCAGCAAAACTAAGGCATTGGAGGTTCGTGCCTGTAAGGATTTTTAATCAACTCGGCATGAGCTCGGCTGCAAAATATTAAACAAAATCCATTTTCCATAAGATTTGTGCGGAACTCTTTAAAACATTATAAAACTTTAATATCTCTTCTTGTTTTTACTTATATATTTTTTATAATTATTTAAACAATTGATTTGAAATTTACTAATTTTAATAATTTTTATTAATAACATATAAATTTTTTTAGAATATTTTATTCTATTTCTTTTTCTTGACAAATAAAACAAAAAAAAAACTAGGCTAATTTTTGGAGTAAATTTTTTTCTTTCAGGTTGAAATCATAACAAATAAAGTAGCTTATTATACATCAAATCTTTATATTCAAAGTTTGCCATAATTGGTCAATGTTTCAAAAATTTTTTAATTTTGATTTGATTCCTTTTATGAGCAAATAAAATTTGAGATATAGAAAGTCTCGAGACAATAGAATGTCCTTTTAACCTTTAGAGATTCGCAAGGTTTTTTTTAATCTATGAAAATTTTGTTTTAGGAAAATCTGTATATGTTTAATATTTGTATATATTTAATTATGATGCAAAATATGATATTAACCTTGAGATGACACATATTATATCCTGTGGCCTTTTATGGATAAGATTTCTTTTTCATTGAATCATATATAAATAGTGCAATCACTGATTAATTTGATGTTTATAAATTCGAAATCAAAATTACAAAAATTATTCAAAATCAAAATATAAAATAGTGAACTTAAGGAAGGAGAGCAAAGCAGTATATTTAATCTTTAAACTAATAAAACAAAAAAGTTTTTCTTTTTTAAAGGAAAGCAAGCCTTTAATAGTCAAATTGGATCTTATGTGCTTAAATAATTCTATGTAAATTTATATATTATATTACCTATGTAATATCTTTTAAAATCTTTTAAAATCTTTTAAATTGTTCGCTGAATTAATTTTTTGGTCTTGAAATGCAAACCGATTGAACTACTGTAGTAATATCACAAATTAAATTGTTTAACAATTTATGAATTTCAGAGGTGCCAAAGAAATTTGCGAGTTATCGCCATGTTATCGAGATCCATTGCTAACGTCAACGTTTGGTGAACCTTGTTGTTTACTTAGATAATTGCAATTGGCATCATTTTAAGAAGATCTTAATATAATAAATATACTATAATATACGAAAATAAATTTATTGCTAAAAATATTACCGATATGTAAGAACATACGCATTGTTCAGACAGCGTGTATATCAATAATCAATAATAAATAATTTATTAAAACTGTATAATGAATACACAACAACAAAAAAAGTAAGCCTTTAATGGTCCGGTCTTAAATTAGAAGCACCTTAATGGAATTCGAACTGAAATCTCTAAATTATGAATCTTCTGCGTTACCTGCTATACTACTTCTTCTAATTTACATTACTATAAAACGACACTGAATAAGAGTCGAATAACCTATCTCGCTTGGATAATGCACTATTATCAGCATAATATTCTGACTTCGGCTTGGTTTGCGAGTATTCACATTATTCATTTTACTTCTAAAGAGAAACAAAAGAACAAATTAAATTTTTATGTTACAACTTTTTTAAACTTAGTTAAATTAAAACGAAAAATTTCCTACTCATAAATTAAGTAAGTATTTATGATTTATTTTTTAATAAAAACTTTATTTATTCGTTTATTTGGATTAAAAACTGCATTTCCTGTTCAGAATTAAGTATTCAGTATTTCTTATTCATAATTTTGAATTGAACAGTATTCAAGATGCATAGAAAATGCTAATATTATTTATAGATTGAAAAGACATCGACATTTGCTTCTATAATTTCTGTAATTTCTATAAATGAATAAAAATACATTCAGGATTGAAAAGCATTCATTTTAACATTCATGAATTCATATTTCTGAAAATCTGAATCCATTTCAATCTATTCTCATTTACTGGGATAACTGCGTATATACGCTCATGTTATAAGCACTCATGCTTATAAGCGCTGTTTTCAGACGTTCAATTTAGTCATATTGAATAGATGAAGTTGTTCGTTTTAGCTAATGTAAGCGTTAAGTAATAATTCGGTAATTAGCCGTAATTCGCTTTTTATATACTGAAAATAAGTATTTACGAAATTTTAATAAATATTTATTTAATTAGTATCAATGTGACATTTGCTTATAACGAATAATATTTATTCAATACAAAAATTATACTTTGAATTAAGTATCATTTTTTAAAAATAAATATTCACCGTAAGCAAATCTCCCATTGATATTATTTAAACAAATATTACAATTTTGTAAAATTTTTCCAATGTAATCTTTTTTTGTCTTATAACCTTTTGTTTCTTTTCATTGAAAGTTTCATTCATATCTAAACAAATTGTAATTGTCACCAAACGATTCTTCGCAACCATGTAGTTTACTACTGGTAGATAGAAAAAGATGAAAAAGAGAGCGTTCACAATTGGAGGCTAAATAAAAAATAATTTCAACACTTATATTTTCTTAAGTCTTAATTTTATTAAATTTTCTGGATGACAATCAAGAATATAATTATTATAAAGAAGAATTAAAAGAAACATTTTTAGTTCTTCATCGAATCAAAAAGCCAATACCATTTAAATATCATTTAAAAAATTATGTAAAAGAGATTGTACAGTCATATAATGACGAATAATTAAAATCACATTTTAGATAGACATATATAATAATAAATTTTTTAACAAATACATTTTTTAATAAGTATTTTTTACTCTAAAAAGTTGTAAAAAAGAATTAGATTACAGATATGCAAATTGAACAAATTAAACAAAATATTTTGATTTTTTTTAATAGTACTTTAATAATTTTATGCAACGATCTATACATTTGATTATGTATTAAATAAGACTATCATTATTATCGGTATGTCACACTATCTCATAAGACTATCATTATTATCGGTATGTCTAGTTATGGTTCAATAACTTATAGGTTGTTATATAACTTTGAATACAAACACACACACACACACACACACACACACACACACACACACACACACACACACACACACACACACACACACAGAGAGAGAGAGAGAGAGAGAGAGAGAGAGCGAGAGATAGAGAGAGAGCGAGAGAGAGAGAAGAATTTTATTATTCTATGTTTTTATTGTTTATCCATATGTGAAAAATTTAATGTTGCAAAAGCATTGCAATCTGTAAGGAGAATTACAAGAATTCTTGTAAAGTTTGCATCAATTTGTATCTTGGCTAAAGATGACTTGGCTAAAAGATGACAGAGTACAACAAGTTTTTGAAGAACTTGAGATGTGGATTTTCTAAAGTAATAGGTTTCATTTGATGGCATATATAAATATTAAGACACACATATAAATGTTAAAGCACTCAGTATTAATCTTGACTATTATGTCAATAGAAAAGGACATCAATACAATTACAGATAATTTGCTGTTTTAATTAGTGTACAGAATGTGTTAACATATAAAATGTAATTATTTGTTATTTATTTTCAATAATAGGCTCTGTGATCATAAATTGCGTTTTACCCATTGTTTTGCTGGATACATCAATTCCATGAACGAATATTTCGTTTATCCAAAGTATATGAATATTTAGAAGATAGACACACGTTTCTAAATAATTCTCATTTAGTAGCCGATTCAGCGTATTTCATCCATGATAATGTTATGACATCTTATCGTGAAAACAGACTTAACAATACAGACAAAAAAATTACAATTTCTGTCACCCTCGGTACGAATATTGAACGAACATTCGCATTCCTTAAAAAAAGATTTAGAAATTTGCTTACTGTTCTTGATATGGAACATACTGATTGCTTCTGATTTTGTTATAGCATGTTGTGTCTTACACAATATTTGTTTATTAAAGAATGATGACTTAACAATGGCCGAGTTAGATCTCATACAAGACAATTATAATTTACAATCATTGATGAAAGGTAGAAATAGACATATAGGTCAAGTAAAAGAGATAATATCTGTGATGAATTTAATGTTACGAAATATGTAAAGAAATATCGATTTATAGTAATTGGAAAAAAGTTAGAAGTAACAAAGATAATTATTATTTTTTCTTCAAAGTGTCAACCATTTCTTTAAAAGTCTTTCTTGAATTTGCACATTTTTCGATACCTCGTTTTAGCAGCTTTGTTATAGCTTTGAATTTGAATATAGCAAACAACTCGATGTTTCTTTACATATTTCACATAATATGTTTTATCTCATGCGATATTCTATACATTAAAATCTTTTATAGAACACTCTATCAACTCTTCTTAAAGATTACAATGTATGTTTGTGCTTACGTCAAATTAATTCTGTCCTGTCAAATTAATTAATCTTCTATACTGTGACCGTAAACGCGACTGACGGCACAACTTCGTCGCATGCGCTATTATAATTTTCAGGAATAAGATTCTTTACGAGATGACTCGAGAATCCTACAGGATTTTTCCAAGACCTGAGAGTTTTCCTCACAAAATAAGTTGGGCGCCAGGCACGAGAGAGCATGCCACTTTTGTTAATTTCCGATTATTTTAATAATTACGCACAATTACAACTCGCGACAACAGGGGTAGATCGGTACTGGCGGGAAAAATTTCGGGAAACGAGAGAGAGATGGCTATAAGAATGACACAGATAATAATTAATAATAAACTAATTAACAAGTTCACTAAATCAATATTCAATTAACGTCTGGAGTTTTGCTCTTTAGACCTTAGATCTTATTGGGTCGACATTCGCGATAGACAGTGATAATTTCTATAATTACGCTGATTCGAGACAATCATACTAAATCTCTTTAAATTTTTATTCTCCAAGCGAGGGGGTAACCACTTAATGAAGTCATGGGACAGACTCTCCGAAATTATTGTGAAATCTTTACGAAATCCCTATGTAATTGTTTTACAATCAGCTGTAATTATGAAGTTAGATTAAATCACGTGTAATTATCAGAAATCATAATAAAATGATATCTAATCAGCAGAAATGTGATTTTCTGTAATCACTGGAAATCATTATAAAATCTATGATGAAATCATATGTGATTACTACGAAGTCTGATGAAAATGTAAATAATTATTCTAAGGTATAGCAGAACATAAATAATATATGCAGTTTTATACACAGATGTGATATATATTCGGTTGCGCTTTTTTGTATATAGAACTCTGTAGAGTGTAAGTGGCGTAGCAGGCACGAGACTGCTATGCCAAAGATCCCGGATTCGATTCCAGGCAGAACCGAAAAATGTTTTCGACGCTCGTAGCTCCTCTCGAAAAGCAATGGCAAACCACCGAGAATATCCTTGCCAAGAGCATTTCTCTAATAAATCGTTGTTCGGAATCATGTACAATCAGCACAGACATATGAGAGAAGTCACTACGCTCGGTCACGAGCAATAGGACTGAGGAGGAGGCTAGAACTCTAGGAATGCGTTTCGAATTTGTGCATCAAACGCATGGAATAATTCCAAAACGCAATAGATGTACTAGGCTTTGAGCCATAAGATATTAGCCAATCACAATCGAGTATAAGGAGAATAATCAACCATAATTAGTTGATTTCTTATGGTTTAAGGCTTATTACATTTAGAGCGCGTTTACTTTTTATGCTCACGCGCTTCATTCTATCCTTTTTCCGCAAGTAGCAAGTAATAAAGGTAGAATGATTTCTTCGCGGCGCTATGAATTACACAAGTCCTTGCGAGCCGCGAATTCTTACGCCTCAGGACGTGTAATATGATCATAAGATAGACTCCCTTGTTCTTAGTGGCCTCTTGGCTTTGGGTCGGCTCAAAAAATCTAGAGCAGCTCCGCCACCGGCTCCATATAGGTTTGTCTCTACCTCCGATAGACAGCATCCTCAATTATCCGGCGTACCTGGAGCTCCCTCTCTCCCTTGTTCCTGTAATTGGTGTGCATTACAACAAAATTCGACAATGTGATAATATATGGAATCATACGACCTGCATATCCGAATTTCCGGATAAGATGACTCCCAATAGATTACCAATAGACTACGTTTCGTCTATTTCTGCTCAGTGGTCTCTCTTCTTTCGTTGGTGGATAAGACGACAAGTTTATAGAATAATATTTTAGCCATCGAGCATGGTCCGTTGACAACAAATCTAAGACTATCAACAAAAAATAAATTCGCAAAAGAAACAAAAGAAACCAAACAACCGAATGATTACGCTCGCACGCGCGCTCGGGAGAACGCAAGATCCCCGCGGAAATACCGCTAATTTTTGTCAATGACTAATCAATAATTCCTAATGAATCCCTGGTAGAAAAATTTTGCTAAAATTATTTTATATTTTGGAACATCGGCAAAATTTCAGCATTTCAGAAAAATTTCAATTTAATTTCAAAGATTTTTAGCTTTAGAAAAATTCATTTTCAGCAAAAGTTCAGAGAAATCTCAGAAATCTCTAAAAATTTCAAAGAAATTTCAGCAAAATTTCACAGAAAATTCAATTCAATTTTAGCAGTTTTTTAGTATGTTTTTCAGTATGTTAGAAAAATTCACTTTCAATGAAATTTCAGCAAATTTTCAGCAATTTCTAAAATATAGAATAGTTTCAGCGAAATTTTTTCACCAGGGATAAGATATCCTTTCAGAGCATAACATTGAGATGCGAAAATATTAGAAATGATGTAATATGATGTACATAAATCGTAAATGTATACTGCTTGAAACAATATATATTTACTGTAAATATTACAATTTGCAATAGCTAAAAATTAAAATAGAATTAAATATTTTGTATTCTTTAGTTAAATATTAATATTTTTGTAAAAAAAAAAATATGAAATTATGAAATCAAATTAATGAAAAATATAATATAATAAATAATATAATATTATAAATAACATAATAAATGTCTTACAAAAAATATGCTCACGTTCTTGTTTTATTCCCTGACTTGTTATCCTTAACAGCTTTATACATGCGTTTTAAACTGGAAAATTTGGATAAATATTGAGAACCAATTACATTGTAGCCATGTTTCATCATTACCTGAATTATTAAAATATCTTTTTATCTTTTTTGGAACACTTTTTTTTCTACTAAAGAAATCATTTTATTGCATACGATTGCAATTGTTCTAAATCAACTAGAACTTTATCTGTTGATGTTATCTTTGTATGAGCAAATTCTTCTTCCTATTTTCTTCATGAAAGTTTATGCATCCAATTCCTTGTTGTTGATGAACGAAGTTCTTTATTAGTACAAAGTAAGAAAGAAATTTGTAAATCGTCATATACAAATAAGAAAAGTTCGGACAAGAAGCAGATACTCAGTAAGCAAGAAACGTTTTGAAACATTTCAGTAACGTTGCAACAACATTTAACATTACTGCAACGTTTCTTTACTGAAATGTTTCTTGTTTACTGAGTGTGTTAAGGTTTAAAAAGAAAAATGACATAGTTAAAATTAAAATCAAAAACCTTTTTTATTCTCATAATTCTATTAATGGAATCAACTTGCAATAAAATAAAATAAAATTAAAAAACTTGAACATTTAAATGTCTTATTAGTCAAAATGTAAAAAAAGGGAAACCATCCGCTTTGCTCGACCTCTCTGGGCAAAGTGGATAAGTCATTCCAGTAATGAGGATGGAATTTAAAAAATCAAAATCATTATCGGCAGTCGTCACAATAGCTGCCAAATCTTTCATATGTAATGCAGTCTTCATTGATGTACTGCACTGGATCTAATCTTCAGATGGTTTAGAATACAAACATTGTATTGCATTGTGGAAAAAAAAACAATTGTGAGATGTAAACAATCATGTATCTTTCATTCACTCTAAAGATCGTCTGTTCCTTCATCTTCCCGGTATTTTCAGTGCAATCACATATTGGATAAAGAGAATGAGCCGTTTGCTTTGCTTCCATCCACTTTACCTAAACAACCTATTTGGCGTGAATTTAGAATAAGTTTAAGCAACAAGTGAAAAATTTTAACTCCTCGAATATATATTTAAGGGAAGAATACTAAGAGTTATCAACATAGATATTATTTCGTATTTCTCAAACTATTTTGTTTTCCTTATACAGAATAAAAAAATCTTCTCCAAAATAAAAGAAAAAACACAAATATCTTTGGAAAAGTACAAACCGGTGTGAAAAAAATTCCTAAAAAACTATAGATTACAGTTTTCTGTTACCACATGTAGATTCGCTTCCTTTACATATATAAATGAATGCAAGGATATATCCAAACAAAAACTTTTCCATATTTGAGTAATTTATAAGATATCAGAGACCTTCAAATTATGATTTTGAAGCTTACAAGAGAAATGGTTTGAGAAGTACAATTTGACTTCTCATGTACATAACTTCGCATTCATGTGTATATAAGATATAGCAGAACGAGAAATATATGTAACGTTTTATTTAATAATATTGTTTAATGTACGTAATGTTTTAATTAATGTATATAATGTTTTCTTGATGCACAATATTTTATTAGGAATTAAAAATCTGTTTTATCGACATCGATCAAGTTCAGCCATTGCTCCAGCTCCCCTTAAAGACAGAAAATTCTTATAAAAAAATCGTTCACACTGCTTAAGAAACAATTACTGCTAATAATTAAGTTACGTATCTTAACGAAAATCGCAAAAAAACACACAATTTCTTTTATTTCTATATTAAACAAACGAGCAAATTATATAATTATATATTGTTTCACATTTTCGTGGAAAATTATGAAAATTTTTTTTCGAAAAAAAAAAAGTTGAAAAAATTCCCAAAGTTTTTAATATTTTTTTAATATATGATTTGTTCAAATATAGTAAAAAACAAAATATCTTTAAAATTTATATAAAACTAATTTAAATATTGTCTGTATGAAGTTTGGGATCTATTTATCGTGTAGTTATTGAGTATAATTGTATATTAATTGTAAAGATGTAAATTACCTTTT